CACCTTAGAGCCGCCTTCAATAATCAACTTTTCAACACCCATTTACTTAGCTTTCTACACCCAAAAAACTGCCAATTCCATTTCTTCCCTTAGTGAATTTACTTCCCCTGTTGGACTAGAAAACATTGCAAGTATGACCCCTTCTTCATCTCTTATCACAACCCAATTCCAGAAGATCCTAGGTTACCCACACAACTACCATCAAAATTCAGCTCCCACCATCCTCTACTTGGAGGTGCCCAATCTATTTTTACTTTTATTTTACTAGGTGAGGAAGCTACAATTGCCCCCAAATCGTGAGCAAATCATCCACTGTGAAATCAAAGAAAAGCTTCAATGTCTTTAACTAGTGTACTACTCTCAAGGTGGTGGATTCAATGACTGCCTCCCTGCTCCTTTCTTTCTCCATAAAGATTCTTGCATTCCTTTCTTCCCACAACATCCAAAGCACTACAGCCCCTGTACATTTCCACATAACAACCTGTCCAAGCTGACAAGGGGGTTCTACCTGCACCAAGAAAGAGCAAAAAATAATTCCCAAATATAGCAGGCAAATGGATAGGATATTAGTAAGTGATAATGCAGACGCCCCATTCATACACCAGTTATGAGATAATATCCAATTGGGTCTCTTGTTTTGTAACAAACCACAAGTATTAATGCTTCCATGAAAAGTTTCCCAGAAAAAGGCATTAATTTTGGAAGGAATAGGAGCACACCCACACTTCCTTCAAAGGAAAGGAACCAGAAGAAGGGTTGTTCAAAATCAAGGAAGTGAAAAAGGAACCAGAATAGAAGGCACCAGCAGGGTTAGGGGCCTACAAATGTCCATCCCTTTCAGAGGTAGCAAGAAACATCCCATCCAACAAGTTCAGAAGGCTAAAAAGGCAAGAGCAATTTCAGAATCCTTAAGATTCCACCTGAAGCCCAAGTTCCAAACAAGCCCAGAAGGCAAGGGAGAGGGTGTAACAAATTCTGAAATAGATTTAATCTTAAGAGTTGAAATGGAATAAAGGGAACAGAACAAGTCTTTAAAAGGAGACTCCCCAAGCCAAAGATCTACCCAAAATTTAATCTTGTTACCAAAAGATATATCATACCTAATGTGAGAAAGGAACAAAAGAAGAAAATTGTGGATGGCTTTCCATGGTGAAGCAAGGGTAGCTCTGTGCAATAATCCAACATCCCAGTCATTCTCCAAGAGTCCATAAATGCTAGCCATAATCTTATACCATAGTTTTTTCATTTTCCAACGGGACCTCCATAGCCATTTCCCAAGGAGAGTTGTATTCTTCTTACTTACATTACCTATTCCCAAACCTTCATCCTCTTTCCTTCTACTCACTATCTCCCATCTAATCAAATTATCTTTCCTTCCTTCTTTGGGTTCCCACAGGAAGTCCCTCATTAACTTCTCAATCTCTCTAACAACTACTTGTGGCATCCAAAACACAAAAAGGTAATATACAGGGAGATTAGCTAAAGTAGACTTAATCAAACTAAGCCTACCCCCAAAGGGAGATGTTAACCAGGGGAATATCTCATTCACTAGAGTTAGGATATCAGATGAAGATCCAGCAAATTTCTTAGGCGGTGATTTGGAGATATGAACTTTAATCAAATCTATATTAGTCAACCTTCCGATGCATTATCTTTCAGCCTTTAGGATGCCACAAATAATCACCAAGAGGATAGAAAGGCTGATGACAGACTTTCTTTGGGAAATAGTGTGTAGAAAGAAAGAAGATAGTGGACTAGGAATAGGTAATTTTAGGAAGAAAAATTTGGCACTTCTTGGGAGAAGTTGCGGCATACGGTTGTAGTAAGTATCCATGGAATGTTGATTTATCAAATAGTCATGCTTGCCTCCCCTTGGAAAGCTATCCATAGCATTCTCCTATTGTTTCTCAATCATATCAGGTATGACCTCTTTTCTGGCAATAAAATTAGATTCTTGGAAAATCTTCAGATTGGGGAATCACCTTAAAAGGACCTTTTTCCTTCTCTTTTTTACCTTCCTACTCTTAAAGGGAAGCCCATTTCCAAGTTTGTTGTGTTATTCTCTTCACTTTCTAGCTTGGCTTTGAACTAGGGGTTTGCAAGAAATCTTAGAGATTCTGATACCCTCTCGTTTTCAACCTCTTGCATATCCTGGAAGGGGTATTTTTTTATTCTAGTAAAGTACATGGTCGTCTTTGAATTCCCCACCTCACAGGTGGTTTCTCTTGTGCTTCCTTTTTAAAATCCTTAACCTTTTCTATTCCTCCTATGCTGTCTTTTCCTTGTGAAATAAATGTGGATTGTTCCCATTCCTCCTAAAGTAGGTGCTTTCTGTTAGGAAGTCTACCATGGTGGTATTAATACTTGTGATCTTTTGCAAAAGAAAGAGATCCAATTGGTATTTGTCTCCTAACTAATGTATCGTGTGCAGATCAAATGATTAGACTGCTTACCACTTACTAATCTCACGTCCACTTATTTGCTATATTTGGGATTGGCTCCTTGCTTTTTCTGAATGAAAGTGGCCTTCCCTTGTTAATTTGGACAGATTGTTTGATGTGACTACCTTCAAGTGGCCACGGAGAAGAGGAAGAATAATATGGAGATGCACAAGGGATACTTTGATTTGGACCATTTGGAAGGAAATGAATGTGCAGATCCTTGAGGAGAAAATAAGGAGCAAAAAGGCAATAATTGAAAGCACTAAAATGAGGAAGGCACATTGGGTGAAGACAATGAACCTATTTTCAGACTTCACAATAGATGATTGCTTTAGAAATTAAGGTGAAATAGCAGGGTCTTCATCAAAAAAGCAAAAAATAACAAGGAGTTGAAAACCAACGAGTAGGGGATTTCTTTAGTTGAACTTTGATGGAAGCAGCCTTGGAAATCCACAGTCGTCTAGAATAAGAGGAGCAATAAGGGATGAAAATGGGGCCACGCTTGCATCGTTTACTGGACCAATAGGTAAGGGAGATTCAATCAGGGCAGAACTTATGCAGCAGTGTTTGGAGTGCAGAAAGCTAAAGAAATGAGAGTTGAGAGGTTGGTTATTGAAGGTGACTATGAAGTTGTGATCAGCTGGTTGATGAAGGACAGCAAAGCTTTATGGACTTACAGAAATGAAATCAGATGTTTCAAGGGATATGCATCTAAATTTTCAATGGGTATAGAGATCAGCCAACAGTTTGGCTGATGCTCTTGCCAAACAAGGACTTAATACCCATAAGTTTCTTAGAATCAAATGTAAGAGAATCTGTTGTGGGGAGAGATAAGAGGGGCTATGCTCTCAAGAGTTGTAATGATTTGTACAGACACAACTTTCTTGTTGTACAACCTTGATCTTTTAATAAAATTTAAATTTTGTTATAATATATATATATATATATGTGTGTGTGTGTGTGTGTGTGTGTGTGTGTAAGGATTTACAAGAAACTTGGAATATGTAGAGATTATCAGGTAGAGCACCTCTTGACACTTGGGCACTGGGTAACAGTCAGCACAAGAAACTTTTAATTCCTTTTTTTTTTCATTTGTTTTATTTATACTGTATGTACTTTTTCTTTACATTCTACTCTATTAATAAACATTGTTCTTAACCTTTGATACTGTATGTACCTTTCTGTACACTCTACTAATAAACTTTGTGCTTAACCTTGTTAGTTGTTACGAATCAAATGGTTGAAAAAGGAAAGGAAATAAAATCAAGAATCCTCATCATCTAAGCCTTGTCCAACTATATGGGATCAATGGCATGAATCTTGTACTGTCATTCCGTTCTGTTCAGTGCCATATCCAGAAACTAGGAATGGCTGTTAATAGAACATTTGAATAATGTTGATTCAGGCCCAGAAAATGAAATCATGTCCATTTTTTCTTAACAACCTAAATTAATTCCATTTCAAGTGACTACTCTTTGGATACAAATGCTATAAAAAATCTAAAGTGAGATAATTCCATTTACCATACCTAGAGAGGCTTCCAAAGAAAATAGAGATACCAAAAGAATAGTTAAAAAAAAATAAAACTGAAAGCTCTATCCTGTGTGGATCACAGTTCACAGAGATTGCATTCTCTGGAATTCATTAAGGTTAACTGAAGAGAAACTAGAAAGTTCATTTTTCGGTCATATCAACTGAGGATGGGAAAACAGAGGTTTGATATTTAAATATCATGTTGATTCTGATAGAATTCAAGTGTGATTGACCATTAGTATATATTCTATGTCATTAAAACTTAAAAATACTAAGATGTCATATCATGGAGACCTTTTTCGATTGATCAGGGTTCATGGAGACTTTCCCACTTCCTTAATGAAATAAAGAAGGTATACATCTGTCACAACCAAGAAGAGGAGGATCCTAGGGAAGTTAACTTGATTAAAGACGGCTTGCCTTGAACGGGATAATTGAGATGCATCTTTTTGCAGTCTCATTTGTACACTGTCTCCGTTTGTTTCATCCTATAACAGTGGAAAAGTTGTGTTTTCTGCTCCTTCTCGGTTATATAAATGCAGTCTATATGCACAATCTTTAATCATCTCTGGTAATAATACAGTCGCATTACTAGTTTACCACATCAGAAAGAAGGAAAGAAATAACAGAATCACCAAGAAATCATATTAATACATTTACTAAGACGGTACTTATTTGCAAAATAGAACACCGAATAAAACCTAAATCATAGCTCAAGAACTTGATATTCATTATCTGGAAGAATCTGAAAAACAATACTTAGAGCTGTTCAAAGGGAACTCTCAAGTACCAAGCTGACCAAATGCATGAAATGTCCATCTCTAATCAAAACAATCTTCACTCTCGAACCTAGGTTCTATTCTACGCAACTTGAGAACGAAATGTTCAGATTACAAAAACAAAACGAATATATAAAATTCAAAGATTTAAATCATAGAACTCCAATCTATATAATCAAAGGATGCAAAATGGATTTTTATGGAGCATTCAACAGAGAAGGAAACAAGATCGAAATAGAGACTTCACCGAGCGAAAGAGTTTCGTCATTTTCTTTATTTTCGGATTCGATGTCTTCTTCCTCTCGTTCGCGTTTTCTCCCGATTGATCTTGAACTCCCCTCCATAATGGTATTTACAGTTCAATTGGCTTAAAGAAACGTTCGAAGATATCGAGAGAATCCTTTCCAAAGAGTAAATGATCTTATGTGTTTGTTGTTTTTATATTCTTTCCAAATCTCTTAATTGTTTCCAGATTCTAGGAAAATCACAAGGCGATCTCCGTGTTCTTGTTTTCTTCTTTACCGTCAGATACGAGATATTCCCCATATGTGGCTTCGATGTATGCGGGTAAGTGTGGGTAGAGTTGCAAATTCCGATAATTTTTTTTGGCCTTGGAAGAAAAATAAAATATATCTCTTGTCCCAAATTTTAATATCCTCTCGTAGGTAAATTACAAAGACCCCCTTGTAGAACAAAGGAGATCGGATCTGCTCTTCACACCTGACGCCTAACAGGCGTCCCACACGCACATCCTACCATGCATCTCATGTACTTATTAGTTATTTTTATGAGAGATGTTCCTAATGCACGGTGGATGTGCATGTGAGGCGTTCATTTGTGAGGAATAGATCCCATTTCGTAACAAAGACCTTATATATTTTAATCTGTAACAAAGACCTTATATATTTTAATTTGTAATAAAGACCCCTCTGAACTTTTACATTGTGATAAATACCCCTTGGCCGTTAAATTACATTAAGAAAGGCATTAAATTACCAAAATACTTCACTAAACTTTCTTTATTTTCTTTTCTTTCACATTCTCTCTTAAAACTTAGTTGACCCGAAAATTACTTTAACCATCACCAGAAAAGGAAATCGGGTTGACTTTCTTTGGTGAGAAATATGACTTTCTCACTAGTGATCACTGTTGGAAAAGGAAAAAACCTTCAGCAACTCGAGTTCTTACATCGGGTCCTTTTTGTCATCCATCCACTCTTCTTCTTCTTCTTCTTCTTAATTAGTGGCTTTTTGAGTGAGAAGTCTTCTTCTTCTTCAACAAAGAATAAGTTGAGATGAAAAAACAAAAGAAATTGACATCGTCTCTATTAATAATTTAGTATATATTTTTGTTTTTTTTTCTATATAATTTTATGCCTCCCCAAAACAACTCTTGGCACCACCACCACTCCCCATTGCCAGACTCACGTCACAAGCACCATTGCAGCATAGATGAAGATGACAAGGACCAACAACAAGCTGCTACAATATCTAAGTTTGCCAATGGCATCACAAGGGAGCAGCAACTTAAGCAGCATGATTCATCGAAGGCTCCTTTGTTTATTTTCGGTGATGCATAAATTGATTTTGATGAGATAGAGCTTATGAAGATGTTGGGGATTCCAATGGAGTGTGATTCTACAAAAGGAAAGCCAGTCCCTGGTGTTGAGCATAATCGATAGATTGCTTTTCTTAAAAGAGCATATATTGAATGTAATCAAGTGGAGTTGGGTTTTTCCCCTTTTGGTACTTCTTCAATCACAACCACAAAGAAAATACCCAACAAGGATGCAAACCAACCATGCCACTATAGCCAGGTTTTGGAAGGGCACCAGTCATGATAAGGTCATTTACAACAACTCTAAGTTAATTGGTTTGAGGAAGACACTAATGTTCTATCTATGTCGAGCCCCACATGGGGATAAGTCTCATTGGATCATGCATGAATACAGTCTCATTGGAAGGCCACCAGTCATGTACAGTGCAAAACCTTATATATTGTATTATTTTATATGTATTTGCAATTGTACTCTTTCTAAATTGAGCCAAAGGAACAAGCAATAAGAGATGTCAAATAATGGGGATGCTTGTAACTCTATGCTCTCTCTCTCTCTCTCTAACGTCCTTTATAGCCATGATCCCGCATCGCCGTAGCTGCGGCGACGAGTGTCATCAATAGTGATTTCGTTGACAATTAGCATCATCACTTTGATCCCAAGGCTATTCGAGCATTAATAGTACAAAGTGTAATTAGAAAAGGGTAGTTTAGGCATTTATAAAATTTTAAACAGACATATGAAAATTTCTTTTAGAAATTAACTAATGAAACACCAACAGAGGGGGTCTTTGTTGCAAAAAAAAGTACAGGGGGTGTTTGTTAATAACCCCATAGTACATGAGGTATTTCTAATTTACCCATTTTAGTATCTCTGCACAAATTTAGAATTCAGATTCACTTTTCACCAATTGTGCCCCATGGCCAAATCTGATCTGATCCTCACAAGAGCTCACACTGTTCGCACGATCCCTTGCAACCTTCCCATAAAAAAACATATTGGTATGGAGATATTTTTTATGCATGGCTATTAAAAGACTATGAACAAAGTCTTGTGAACAGTGAATCCAATCTCACAACAAGCATCCTATATGCACATCTTCGTGGGCATTGGGTTATAGTCATGTGAAAACAATCCCAATGCACGGTTGGGGTGTGATATGGAGTCTGTGTAGGTTGTTGTGTGAAGGTAACACAGGGATCTATACCAATAAAATGCTCCTAAGGCGGTCCCAACATGTCATTGCAATGCACATAGGTTGTGTTTGTTTGCGGTGTAAATTCTGACCAATGTAAATAAACACTTTGGTCTGTATTTGTTGGCGTTTGGATGGAGTGTAGCTAAACATAAAAAAATTGATGTAAAACTCCACTCAATTTGAGTTTTACATCAATAATTGATGTCAATACAGCTTAGATAAAAGCAATGTAAATATTTACATCAACAATCACAATTTTTGATTTACAATGGTTCATAACTTTAAACCGGTTGATGTACAACTCCATCAATATACTTTTGCTTTCACATTGCATTCAAATACAGCATTAGGAACATCACCCTTGTACATCATGGGGGAATGTTTCCTATTGCAATGGTTGGTTGGGACATTGTTGTCATTGCATGTTAGTAGATGATCCAAACTCTCCAATAGGGAAGGTTTACTTTCCTAAAAGGTTGATAAGAGAAAGTTCACTTTTGCAACAACACTATTGTAGAACAAGACTAAAACAAAAAATGATGGCCTCGGATCTACTATAGTGGCCCCACCAATAAGTCACTTCATGTTATTCAAAGGCTTTGATTTACTTGTTTTAGTGCAAGGCTTTGACACTGTTATAGCAAATGTGGGTTGAATAAGAAAACCATTAAAGTCTTTTTTATAACTATTATCCAAAAAAAAGGAGAAGAGAAGAGAGAAGAGATATCTAAGAGCCAAAAATCATAACTGGCAGCACAAGCTTTAGTATTTATATCAGGGAAATCATAACATAACATAAAGAGAAAAGGAATTACAATAGTACCCCTGCAGTACCAAACAAAAAAAATAATAAAAAAAAATAGTTTTTTAACTCTCTCCTTCAAGTTGGAACATGAATGTCAATCATGCCCAATTTGTCGCATATATCATTATGCCACAAGTGATGTAACCCTTTTATGAAGATGTCCACAAGTTGGTATTCGGACCTGACATAAGAGGTACACACTTCCCCTTTGACAACCTTTTATCTAATAAAATGCTTGTCTACTTTAATATGCTTGGTTCTATCATGCAGCACTGGGTTAGCAACAATGTTTATGTTTGCCTTGTTATCATAATATAAAGTCATAGGTCCATCAACTGTAAATCCCAACTCAATCAACAATTTTTTTAGACACACTATTTCAGCCACTCCATTAGACATTGCAATATATTTAGCTTCAACACTAGACCTACTCACCACATTCTGCTTTTTGGTTCTCTATGTGACTAGGTTCCCTCCAACAAAGGTACAGTAGTCACTGGTAAACTTCAAATCATTGAGATATCTTGGCCAATCTGCACTAGTATGTACTTCAAACTTCAAATGCATGTGATTTTGAAACAATAAACTTGTACTTAGGAATTTTTTAAGATATCTGAGAATTCTTTCAATTGCTTCAAGGTGGGAGGTCTTAGGGGCATGCATGAATTGACTAAGAATATCCATTACATAATCAATGTCTGATCGAGTCGTGGAGTAATATAGCAATCTCCCCATAAGCCTTTGAAATTGCTTTACATCATTAATGAATTCACCTTGGCAATCACTTAATTTGGAGAATCAACGGGTTTCGCTCCCAATTTTCCTGTATCCTGTAACAGATCTAAAACATACTTTCTCTAGGAAATGAAGATGCCCTGTTGTGAGCAGGTAACTTCAATTCCAAGAAAGTACCTCAAAAGACCTAAATCTTTCACCTCAAACTAAGTATCAAGAAATCCCTTCAACTTTTGAAGTTTATATTTTCAATCACCAGTGATAACTATATCATCAACATACACTATCAGGACTGTAATTTTTCCTTTCCCTCTTTTCATAAACAATGTATGATCAAATTGACATTTCTTGTAGCCTCTTTGTTGTACAACTACTTGAAATATGTTGAAACAGGCTCTTGGTGATTGTTTTAGGCCATATAATAACTTTTTCAACTTGCACACTTTTTATTCATTACTTTGAGCCAAGAAGTTAGGGGTTGTACCATGTATACTTCTTCTTCTTCAAGATCACCATTTAGAAATGCATTCTTGATATTTAGTTGGTGAAGTCCCAATCAAGGTTAACAGTTAAAGATAAAAGAACCCTAATAGAATTCATCTTAGTAACCAGTGCAAAAATTTATACATAATCCACTCCATACACTTGACCCTTTTGCCACTAAAGAAACTTTATACCGCTCCATCATGCCATCAACTCTATGTTTTACTATAAAACCCATTTACATCCAACTAGTTCATTCCTTTCAAGAAGATCCATAAATTCCTATGTACAATTTTATGCAATACACTAATTTATTCATTCATTGCATGTGTCCATTCAGGCACCAAGAGAATTTCTGCCACATTCTTAAGAATAGGAACACTATCAATGGAATAAATGAATGCCCCAAAAGAGGTAAAATGTTCTCATAGGAAACGAAATGGAAAATGAGATGCCTAGTGGTGCAAGACCTAACACCCTTCCTTGAGCAATAGGGAGGTCAAAGTCTTCAGTAACGGAGGTATCAATAGTAATAGGGTCAGAAATATCATTGGGAACCAAGATACTTGGTCGGGTAGAACCCATCCCCGAAGAATTTTATGGCATTGGTGGTACAACTTCTAAATGCTCCATAG